GAACGGAATAGAAACGCTGATTGTGTTTTAGAGTTTCATGGGAAATCACGTGAACAATGTTAATCAATATAGTCAAAAAAGGGAACGATACCAAAAAAACAGACATGGAAAGCGCGCTCGCTAAAAGTTTTATTCGCGTACTTGCGCAGTCGCGATGCCGTTTGACAGAGTTGCGGAATAGAGATTACGGTTAATGCAAAACAAGGATTATATTATAGGTTTTGGAAAGATGTTCTTTAACGGAGGCGTGAGTACGTTTGGCTTCATAATCTGATAGATAAGCGTCGTACTGTGCTAAATTTTATCTGCTAGAAAGGCCTGTTTCAATATTGCCTCAACTCGAGTCGATCTGCTTTTGCTCGAGATACCACTATACTTGTGAGGAGTAGCTCATCTACCTGTATAGATATTTACGAATATCACACATGTATTAATGCAAGTGGCATGTTCTTCACGAGCCAAGGGATATCTAACACATTCTATTTTTTATGTGAGACGGCTCTTGAGCGTAGAATCTTGAATCTAAAAAATTTAGCTGTCATTTCTCCAGCAACTGATTTCCTCATGTTTGGTTTCTGTAATTATAAGCTCGAACATATCTGACATATAATGACTTTGCACCTCAACTCTTGGTATCGAGACATGCATAATCAAGTAAAAGAATGCACCAGAGCGACGGATCGATCACCTCATTATCGCAACCGAATCACGTGCAACCTGAAACTTGGAAGATAAATTACACGCACAAGAGCAACCAGTCATTGACTGATATTAGTTCATGGTAGCGAGCATAGTAGAAATTTTAACTGAAAAGAATACTAAAATTCCAGTAAAATCAGCATTCACAATTCTCTGTTTAGTCAGAGCATGAAACCCATCGAAAAAATTATTATAATAATAATAGCGGTTTCAGCGTTCGTTAGGCCGTAGGCCTGTCGCCGATTCTTAACATCGCAGAACATTCATAGCTTGTTGCGGTCTCGGAACACGCAACTCACTGCTTCAATTTTGCTTTTGCTTAACCGCCCGGCCTCCTTGCCGATTCTGACCAGAAACTGGCGCAGAGCTGGGATCGAACCCGCGCGCCTCTCTGCGCCAATCTTGGTACTCTGAACTTTAACCACTGGGCCACCCTGCCCAGTGGTTAAAGTTTATTTTCGTGTTGCATACACATGATCTGAAAATCAGCGCGACGTTTCCACTGAGTTTTGATAGTTTCGCCTGATTAATCTAAACGAACACAATAATAATTTTGACCTTGATGTTTGCCAATAGTAAAGCCGGCATACTCGTGAACAGATATGGTCGCACATCGGATCACATGCTCAGGGTGTATTCATTTGTGTTTAAAACATCCAAGTAGGAAACACAAGCCGCCATATTATGTCCTTTGTTCAATACGTAGATCTGGATTGAAAATCCGGGTAATTGAGTTCGAATTAAGTGAATGAAAATTTAGGTTGCTTCATCGCTGAAAACAAAGACTATAAGCAACATAAATCAACCTTATGGTGCTTATGACAATACCACTACGAGATGAACTAACAATTTCATACTGCGACAAAAATTATGAACTCGTTAACATGTCCTTTGCAGTTGTGACTCGTCAACGAGAAGAGTCACCGTGAGCGTCCCACAGGATAAGCTCATTGGTTAGGGCTCTGACACCGGTACCGTAATTAGTTCAGAAGTCTAGTAGGTACTGTTATTAATGCTCCTTATTATATACATGAATTTCAAATCCAACCTTATAGATTTGTTTAATATTTGAAATATTAATTAGACCGTGACAATTTTAGATTGGCAAAGGAAATACAGGCCTTGATGTAAGTCCTTATTATCACTAAATCACCGAGAGCAAACTTCCGACTCAAGAACTATTACTACATGTCAATGCTCAAGTTAAATAAAACGATGCAAGCAAAATACCACGATCACTATTGATGAACACACGAAATACTGATTCTTAAAATTAAGTGCAAATTCCGATTATTAAAATTTAGTGCAAACCCCTAGTCTTCAGCACAAAAGATTCAGTACCATCAATAAAGAGCACCAATGATAGAGAAGCATTATTATTTCGCTAACATTATAATCATTATACAAATCATTACATATGTGTGCTCGCGAGTGTAACATTAACAGAAGTGAGGTTAGGCTCGTATCGCAAGTTCAATCCTCGACACGCATGCCAGGATTTGATACTAGGGCTACGTTTTCAGGAATGTAGCAGCTGACTCACCGCAATGAAAACTTTCCTTGTAAGAAAGAGACGTTAAGCGACACCAGCACTGTAATCCTACTCGCCGTCGTCACGCTCTGAACTCCTGCAATGCGTCTGCGCCGCTCAACTAATTTTAACGTTAATCTCTCAAAACCTGAGCTTAGATTGTTCACCAAAAATAACAATATTTTCTGTTTTACACAGCTCACAAATTCTACATTGCACATATTTCCCAAGTTATGAAGGGAATTTCCGTCATTTCCGATGTTTAGCGTAAATATAAAGTGTGAACGTCCCACGTTACCTGTAGCCTTTTCGAGGAACTAAAGGAAGATTATACAAACGAACTTATATTATGCCGACAAATGCTGCCTGTAGCGGTGATTTAGTTTCGAATTTTAATTACGAATTGCATTCAACATAAAACAGAGGATTCACATACGTTACTTCTGATCTCAACAAACACTAAACACAATTTTGGTCATATCTATCATATCGTGTTGAATACTACGGTATTCAAAAATAGGGATCCAGTTAAGTTCAATTGGCGATTTAAGTGGCCGGCCGCATGATTTGTTTCAAGTCAATAGGAAGAAAGCCTTCCAAAACAATCCAGTGTAAACATGATTCGCTGGCCCAATAAATTTGCAACACTGGAACTAACGGTTCCTGATGGCATTATTCTCCGGGGCCAACAATCAGAAGCACAAGTAAAAGTCACAGTAGAAACAATTCTATCAATCAAATTAGGACCACATATGAGTCACAGTTGAAGCAATTTTAGGAGTCCACACTAGAAGCAGATATGAGTCACATATCAATGTTCAGGTGGCGTCACTGCGGTCATTCTTTGCTTCGACCATCGATGTCGATTCAGCGGGATGGCTGCTCCACAGTACACAATGTACAGTGCGGAGTTCGGCTTGTATAGGCAGCAAACCAAAGCAGATTATTTCTCGGTGCATCAATTATTTCTGAGCGGCAAATAATGAACAAATATTGATGCATTAAACTTATCCTCCCATTCATGGCTATTGCAGTTTTTCGTGCATTACCGTTAAATGTAAAGCGGCGGCCGAGAATCCACCTACAATATGGAAAAGGTATAGTTTAAGAGCATTCGGAGCTGCACTCCTACACATCTTTAGGTGGTCTTCTCATTTCAGAAGCTAATAGGTGATTAGCATCAGACAACTGCTCCATCTCCACAATTCATCCAGAGCAAGACTCCAACTATACAGAACGTGATAACATTAACAGAATCGCCATGACACGCGACATACTGCAATGAAGGAGCAACATCCCGCTCATGGGGCTCTCCAAACCACAAACAAAGGAAGCGTCAAAATCTACTAGTTTCAAGTCACGCTGGCACTTGTTATTTTGTACCTACCGTTGTTATGAACGGGAATAATTCACACAGAATAACCGGTCAGACATTAAAATGAGTTTAAAATACGAGTTCGCGACATGCGAGGACTGAGGAGCATGCTCCCACAATGATGATAATAATTTATAATACTTAGAATGTCTTCCCGCCCTGCTCAGGCCAAGTTATTATTACAGTTCATTGCCTTATTCTTAGGTGCCGACGTGATCGCAAATCTAGGGGCCGAGTGCAGCTTTCATTGAATAGGCAAGATGATTACAGCAGACAATTACCAATTGCAACAATTAGTGATGAGATATTGAAGGCGGTCAAAGTTATTCATGAACTCTACGGAAGACGAGCGCCAAAACGGACGCAGAGAGGGCGCTCAGTCCAACGACAAAACGCCAAATAAATTCACTATTTGATTGAAAACGTTTCGGATACCAGATCCATCATCAGTTCAAGAGAGTTATGTAATGCAAGTACAATCAAAATGTAATATCTAAACATACACGAAATATATAAAAATTTACTAACGAAAAAACGGCAACAGAATATAAAAATCTATCGAATTACAATTTCAAGAAGATAATAACATTATATACGCGTTATAGATAAAAAAAGATATCTAAATTGAAAAAAAATACGTATAAAAGTAGCATTAAATACTTTCGAAGTAAAATTCATCCTTTTACACAGTTTTCTGATTTAATTTTTAATGGAATATTTACGAATATTTCAAATTTATAAAATAAATTAACGAATATTTCATAGAGCGTAAGAAGAGATGATCAATGGTTAGAGAAATGTATGTCTCAGCCCAGTCTGCGGCTGTTTCGTAAATTTATGCCAAACACCATGAATACTGATAATGATAAATCTATAGTAGGCGTAATTTTGCGGCTTAAAACAGTGGACGAGAGCAGCACTTAGTCGACTAATGCACCGTAAAGATACAAGACAAGAGATACTTGTTTGCTTATGCAGGAACTTCAGACCAGGAATAAATTAGGTAATCAGTCGTGCAGTCATGCTGCATACAATTTATGGAGGAAAGGTAGCTTGAAATTTAGCTCTTGAAATTTTCACGGATAAGAAGAAAAGCAAAGGCAATGTACTCTAAGAATTGGCAAGAAATTTCTGTCAACCTAGTTGTGTGGTTCTTTAATCTGCATGCACAAAATGCATGTCATGATCATTAAATCGGGATTAGAACTTCAGAGAATTTATCCCAAAAAGCATAAGCAAAAAGTTCCCCGGAAGATAATTCAGAAATAAATAGGTGCACCTACAATAAAATAATGAGCGATCGAACCAAGGATGAGACGAGGGCGACTAAGTCGTGAATTTATTTTTAAAATATGAGATAGAATTTACGCAACAAAAATAGTTTTGTTTACTTACATGATGATGATGGCACTGAAATGCTGGCGAACTTAACGCTACCAGGCACGTGTGCAATGAAATCCAAAAAGCTGCACAGAAGTCTCGGATCAGAACTAAAGACGAACGATAAGCACTCCACGCAACATTTTCTTTGTTTTGAATGAACTACATATGTCCTTACTCCTTAGCTGCCGTATGAACTGCAATAATCTTTGAATTGAAATTCATTTCCTCTGCCACTTTTAAAGCCTATCTGCACTGCGACTGTCACTTTCAAAGCCCAAATGAAATTACCGGTGGACTTGGTAACTTTGATCAAAATTAATAGAGTTTATTAAACTTGTGAATGCAGAACAGGAAGTTTACAGCCACTCGTAATTGTGGCAGCTATTGCAGCGCTGAGTACGGGATGTCAACAGGTCTCCACACCGCAGTCCGACTAAAGCCGGGCAGGCACCGCGCATCCACCCACTTCCGTGTCTCAACGCTCACTAAGTAAACTGCAGAATCCAATCCACTCGTCTCTGGCATCCGCCGTCCGCTAAATCAGAATTCAGCTGTCCACTTAATTTATTTACCCAAATAAACGCCATGGTTAACTAGTATATAGTTTATCCTATATACTATAAAGTATATAGTTCGACCATGAATAAACGCTAGGTGAATTGAAGAGCAATTTGCCATCCAATGAATGAATATTCAATACTGCTTATTAGGCATCATATTTTTTTTAACATTGCATTAGTAAAATCAGTAATATTTTAGTATATAACTTATCTATGAGATTGTCCCAACAATCGGCACAATTGCATTAAAACGTTTCAATACTTCGGTTTTGGAGCATGACTGAACACCATATGTATCTTTCACTTAAAATTTAATCTATTGCATCACAGAGACTAAAGTAGAACTCATCCTAGTAAAATTAATTGAAATATAGGCCCGAATAAATTGCTTAGATTGGGCAGCAAATGATATAAGGGCCTCAGTAAAGCCTTTCAATCATCTATAATTAATATGAACATATATTGATGTATCGAGGTGACATGCATGCTGCAGAACATATGAAAAACGAGACAAAATATGACAAATAGTACATACATGCAAATTAACATGAGCATGGCAGCGGACGTGTAGTCAGTAAATCCTCGCCATATTGAGATAGCAGGCGTCGGCGCCAGAACATTACGCGTCCTGTAATCCCTTGACGGACTGTACGTGCAACAGCAGATGCAATTTGAAGGACAGTCCGCCTACCGTCAACCTCGATTGTACGTTTAACAGCACAGCACATCATGAAGAACAGTCCGCCTACTGTCAACCTCGATTGTACGATCAACAGCACAGCACATCATGAAGAACAGTCCGCCTACTGTCAACCTCGATTGTACGTTCAACAGCACAGCACATCATGAAGAACAGTCCGCTTAACAACCTCCCAGCACACAAATGTTCGAGGCACAGCTCTCCACCAGCTCTGCGCGACTGCACCACTACCAGCGGCGAGAAGCAAGCAACAGCATCGTGCATCAGCTGGCCCAAATGAGGGCGGATGCGCGGTAGTCATAGGCGGCGATCCATCGTGACCTGGGACTGCTACGTCCGAAACATATACTATGGATATCATGAAGGTCAGTCGACTCAACAGCCATCCTCGACGACGGCCCGCGTAACGTCCACCATGAAAACAAATCCATGCAAGCAAAACTGAAACATTTCGTGGTTTTGATACCATGTACTCCAAAGTGATGGATTGTAACGGGAAAGGTCACAACCCTACATGACTCGTTGAAGCACTGACGCCGCATAAGCAGAGGAAGATGCAATATGCAAGTTTTACAACAGGAGTAAATTAAACAGAAGCTCATCTGAAGACATTCTTCGTGAATGGTTTTAATTGAAATCAGTAGAAACATTTGCAAACCTTTCCTGTTGTGGCCTGACTCAACAGATACAAGTACCCGCCCCGCTCAACAGATACAGGTACCCGCCCCACTCAACAGGTACAAGTACCCGCCCCACTCAACAGGTACAAGTACCCGCCCCACTCAACAGATACAAGTACCCGCCCCACTCAGGAGCTGCAAGTGCCCGCCACACTCAGCAGTCTAAGTACCTGGCCCACTCAACAAATACAAGTGCTTGCCCCCACTCAGCAGTCTAAGTACCTGCCCCACTCAGCAGTCTAAGTACCTGCCCCACTCAGCAGTCTAAGTACCTGCCCCACTCAGCAGATGCAAATAACCGAGACGTTTCTTCACTCAGAAGCAGCGAGAGCGAAGAGCTTGCCTCCGCTGACAAGACAAACGCTGATCAAGTGGAACATTCAGAGCCTCGCTGGTAATTGCTTCAGTCTGCAGGCCGCCGTGATGCCCCGGCGCGGATGCCCCCACCCTAATTTGCAGGGGCATTCTGCTCGTGTTCGAGCGTCGTCTGCTCGCTCCGATGCTCGATAAGAACCTGTCAGATTCCGTCGCGAGCAGAAGAATGAGAGTATTCAGTAAGGCAGAGAGCGTTGTCGTTGCACGGTTGTAGATTTTATTTATTTTGTCAGTTGAATATAAGGACTCAATTCAATTCCGTGATAAATAAGCTGCTCATGTGTTATGCCGTGAATGTGTTGCTTTCGTATTCTGTCTTGTGTTTAGATTGATTGTTTTTTTGTTGCAAATGTTAGCCTTCCGCTCTCAGGCGCTATATTTCCCTGCATTTTCTCCCATAAATTTAAATGTGAATTTCCCAGTGCTGCGTTCAGAGGCGCCGGAAAATGAGACTAGAGAAGATCCATCCGAAAATTAGACCCTAAAATAGAAGATAGTTCGTGAACATTTTACTGACTGGTCGCAGTTCTTGAAAATTAGGATGTACAAACGTACTAATCTAGTTAATGAAGCTTAATGTGTCGAATTAACGAAATAATATCCAAACGCTTGTACGTTCATGTTGACTATGTAAAAGATCTCAAACCATGTGTATAATCGCTTAAAATGTGAACAAATTGCACGGTGGATTAAACTCCATCAAAGATTACCCATTATTATTTCCTTACTGTTATATTGGAAAAAATTGTACGCCTACAGTTGCACAAAAACAATGAGGGAACAACTATATATCAAAATTATTACTTAATTAAAGTGTGCAAATAAACTGAAGAAACAATCGATAAGATTGCCCTCTAGATTCAAAGTCAAAGTCAAAAATCTTTAGAACTGTTCGCGTTGAATTGTTAATATGTTAAGATATATACACACGATAATCTAATCTCATTATCTGATTCCTCTGTTGTTTGTAGTTCTATTCAATTTAGGTTTCTATCGATTCATCTTCAAGTATTTCTGCGAACGTACGCAGTTCACAAACGCCATTGACCCCAATCATTTTTATCAGTGAGAGTAAAAGTTGAGTGGAAGCACACCAAGCCAGTTTATTTATTTAAGGCTGACTCCATGGAAACAGTATATTGACGAAAAAAACTTCTTCTTCAGCTCTCCTAGATATTGCATAAGTTGAACCCTCAGTGCAAAATATTTACTGTTTTAAGTTAATCCATTATAATAATTTTATCAATAATAATAATAATCTTATATCATTCATAGGCTTAAATTTCAAGTTAGCTAAGAATTTTAAAGCGAAAATAACATCAACTAAATTCAACACTTCTTCATCTGAAAGACCAGATCCATCATCAGTTGAAAAGATTTATAGAAGTAAAGTAAACTAAAAACTGTAAATCTAGATCTACACGAACGAGATTAAACCTAAGGAACGAGAAAACAATAACGGAACAAAGCAACCGCTCAGAATGTAATAATGTCGTTTCAATTTATATTTGAATTATTCTACTTAGACCGATTGATATATGCAATAGCATTACAGCGTTCAAAATAAAAGTGTTTCAAACTGCGTGTTTTTTTCTTGTGCTTGTAGTCATTGCAAACAATGGAGCAGTCGACGCGTCTGTTATATGGAACGATGCGACCACGACGCCATGGAGATGGCACGGAGTGCGAGATGGCACGGAGTGCCGTGGAGATGCCACGATGTGCCGTGGAGATGGCACGGAGTGCCGTGGAGATGGCACGGAGTGCAACTGCTATCAAATATTCATATGATAATAATTCAATGCTCATGAAACAGACACTGAAATGTGTTTTGGAGGTATGAGCCAATTTATAATAGTATTCCTTTAAAAGGAAGCAGATGAAATATTTAAAATTTATATTGGATTTTTTAGGTCCATGATATGAAATAATATCCTCCAGACATTTCGTCTGGAGGATGTTCGTCAGGCAGCAACAAACGGAGTTGAAAAGTTAGAACAAAATTGCAGTTATTCCAGCACTCCGAGGTACTACATATTCATAACGCATCGCTGTCGGCGTCAAAATGAAAATCGTGTTCTCGAGTGGAACTTTCGAAGCAATATTAACGGAAGAAATAATCCTACAGCTCACTCGTGAACATTTCGCTCGAGCAAGTAAATACGACAGGAACAGGAAAGTGGCTAGATTTGTTCTCTCTCCATATCATAATCCGTGTGTTTTCAACCAAGCCTGAATTGAATGTAATTAACTTTTCCAACAACAAAGCAAAAAATAAAACAGAATCTTGCGTATAACCTTCGTACGGAGCTCAGTAAGTAGCAGTCCTCAGCACCACAGCACGCAACAGTCCTCAGCACCACAGCCACAGCACACAGCAGTCCTCAGCACCACAGCCACAGCACACAGCAGTCCTCAGCACCACAGCAAGCAGCAATCCCCCGCACTACAGCGCACAGCAGTCCCCAGCACCACAGCACGCAGCAGTCCTCAGCACCACAGCCACAGCACACAGCAGCCTTCATGTCGCAGCTGTCTCAGCGATCGGAAACGCTTGTTGCGCGCGCGTCTTAGCGAACATCTTGCTCTGTCACAAGCTTTTTAGAAAACTTTTTCGGCAATAGTGAGTAAGACAGAGCTTGTTATCACTGTAGCCTAGTTGATTGCGGTACATTAAATCCTTTCAATACTTTTTTCTCTTTATTGGCAAATAAAATAATTCACGCAAACTTACAAAAAAATTAGGTATAGCACTAAACGTTTGATTTCAGTCATTTCCGCTCGTGTTCATTACTGCTGACAAATGAGATGTCGGTCTCTTGATTGTGTTTGCTGACTGCATTCGTGCTATTGCACCAAATCTTGCAAGAGTAGCAATTGCGAGCTAACCAAAGCCAAGAGTTTAATCGAAAATTTCCCGATAATCGGAAAATTATGGCAGGTTTAATTGATAACCAAACCAACCAACCTAAACAACCAGATTGAACTTCCGCAGGTATACTGTTCTGATAGTTCCTTTCAGTCTCGCATATTAACATTATTGTCTGGTAGTCTCGACTGCTGGTTATATTAATCCTGAAATCAGTTATAGTTTCTATATACGTACATGTCATGCCCGGGTTGGTTGACCACATGACGTGCGTCAACACAAGCCTGCTG